TGGTGCTGGTGGTGCTGGTGGTGCTGGTGGTGCTGGTGGTGCTGGTCGTGCTGGTGGTGCTGGTGGTGCTGGTGGTGGTGGTGGTGGTGGTGGTGCGGTGGACAACGACGAGGAGGGGGAGGAAGATGAAGATGGCGATGTAAAGCCGTGCTGCTGATGGGACTGCGGGGTCTTGGCAAGCACCGGTGAACTGCAAAGATGCTTCCTCCACCAGAATGCACAAACGGGACGAGGGCGGCACAGGTCGCCTTGAACCTCTCGGTGTCCGCCATCGTCTGTCCCATCTTCCTGGCGGCAACTGGGCTGTGGCTCTGATGAAAATTTCCAGAACATCTGAACTCTGCGTGTCAGCCTGAAGAACTCGGTGCTGTCATGATTCCCAGCATTCCACCTTGTGGGCCGTGGGTCAGTGAGGATTCGTCGCGCGAACTGATCAAGAACACAGCAGGCTCTATCGATCTCTACCGACTGGCATCGACTGGCCAGAAAGCTCTGAGAGCAATGGCAATAACATGCTAGACATCTTTGCTGAAAGTGTCAGAGAGGCACGCCTCGCGGTCTTCTCCTCCTCTTGCCGCCGCCTCACCTGCGCCCTCAGCCGAGAACTTTCTTCGCATTCCCCGGCTCCGGTTCTGGCCCTGGTGCAATCCGAGGCGTCGGCTTCGAGGCCTCCACGTAGGACACGGACCAGCGTGCGGACTCCGGAAGCCGCTCACTGCAGACAGTCAAGCAATCCGCAACGGCTCGCGCAGCTCGCTTTCTCGCTTTTTCCCGTGCTGGCGACCAAGGGCAGTCTCTTGCTGCTGGCACCAACGCAGAGCGATTGCCGGCTGCGTGCGCATCACTGAAACTGGTGACCACGTCCATACTTGTCCGTGCACATAAGATCTTTCGGAGCTGTCTCCACCTGGCACAAGTCCCACGCTCATGTTGTCCGGCTGAACTGGAACTGGCGCAATTGGAGGTCCTAGCCTTTGCGCATTGGTATTCCAACTGCTCCATGATGGCCAGGAATTTCGTATCACTCCTGGAAGAACAGCGAGTCTGGCTTTGGCAGAAAGCGCAATTGGATACCAAGCCTGTCAAAATAGTCATCGTTCTCGCTCCAGATGATGGGCTTGAACCTCACCACATGTCTCCGGCTTGAAAGTGCAGCATGTTCAAGTATGTTGACTGTCGAGGGGCTGATAGATGGCATTCATGGCGCCAAGCACCACGTTCGTTTCCATGCCCTCAACATCGATCTTGATAAGCCTGCGCACTGGAACCCCACCAACCCTGAGCTTAAAATTGGCAAACATCTTGCGAGGGGAATTGTAACGGCCTGATGCTCTGCACCGTGGGTGGCTTGAGGTCGGTTTGACCGGAGAGCACCTCGTCCAGGGCGAGCATTAAAGTCCTGAGTCGCAAGACTGCCGGATCCGAGTAGCAGCCTAACTTTCGGCAGGAAATCGGAAGTGCTGTCGCATGCTGTCACGGATTCCTAGAAGCTTATCATGAATGCGGCATCTCTTTTGGCTGCAGAGGGTCTCTTCCGGATCAGTCTCGAAGTCGTACCTCGAGCATTCGCTGACTGCGGCGCTGATCAAGGACTGATCGTTCATTCGACGATATCTGGTGCCGAGCCACAGTTGCACGGCTTGGTTGATGTGCATGCCTCAGCTTCTGTCACAGCCCAGCACTGCTCAAAGGGTGTCCGTGCGGACATAGTCAAGATGCCCCTGCCTGGGAAATAAGCAGAAACAGCAGCGGAGAGAACACAGACTTGAGATGAGGCCAGCAAGTGTTCCGGCCGTGCGAAGGGTCCTCAACTACAGGGAGCATGCCAGGTGCTCCCTGCGAGGAGTGAGTTTTGGGTCTCCAGCTGCTCGGGCTGCTTTGGCAGCTGAGCTGCCGTGATGGAGTCCACAGGTTGTCTGGGTTTGCAAGCTATGGTGGCTACCAAATGTTGCACATCCCTACTATGTCCCCAAAATCCAGCCGTGTCGGCAGACCATATCCATTCCAAGCCACGAATTCCATAACTGAAACCATTGGTATCCCAAAACCAAAACTCCCACTCGAACAATAATTGCCAGCCGGTTGCTCTCCTGTGCTCCTGGCACCCCATCCTGCTCAGCGTAGTTCACCTCTCCGTGCCCCAGTCAAAGTTTGCACGAGGGCGCCGCTTTACCTTTGAAACCCTCGACCACTCCAGGGTTAAGCAGAAAGCCTCTCATGAGGTTCTTGCCTTGGCACCACCAGGACTGCTGAAAAATCGAAGCTGCGGTGGACGACCATAGAACCTTTGCTTGCGTTCGCCGAGGGCCACATTGAAAGTCCAGACCTCGAAGATGTGAGGACAGAAGCTCCACTGTTTCTGCACCAAGTTGGGCCCTGGCATTGGACAGTCCATTCCTGAGCAAAGGCAACACAGGAGAGACTCTGAAAGCGTAGAGCGAGCGAGAGCGCGAGAGCGAGAGTGTGTCTGTGCGGTCTGTGCGCGTTGTTCACGCCCTCCGAAGACCGAACCGAGGTGCAAAGCAACGTTCGCGGTCACGAGCTGGTACAGCCAGCCTTAGTAGGGCAGAAGGAGAGCGGCATGAGCTGTCAAGACGAACAGCAGTGGAAGCAAGAACGACGAAGTTGCAAACCAGGGTCAGGGTTGTGGGTCAGGTTTCCTGATTCTGCCGCCCAAGACACGAAATGGCTCGAAAGCCAAGACCTTCCCCTCGCGCCCCACTCTCTCGCCGAAAGGGATTGTGTAGGATCCTCATCCCAAGGCTGATTTGCTGAGGTTGGCCCTTGGCACAATGATTTCTCGAGGTCGCGCTCCTAGATTGGCGCCCACGTCCACAACGGTATCACCTCACAGAGGCAAAGCTAGATGGACCAGACATAACCAGATACGTAGTTGCATCAAACTCGTCCCGTAATCCGACAAGCCTATCCTGAGCCCAGTGGCCAGGGCGCAGGAGTGCCTGCATCTGGTAGTTTTGCATTGGGTTCATGGTTCCCATTTGCATGATGCCATGCGCCTTAGATTCGCATCTTAATGCACCAGCACAGACTTCCGAATTGCCTCTGTGCTGTGGCTTCTCTAAGAGCCCGGCGATGTTGGTATCGTAGAACGGAAGTACAAACGCATGCAGGGGCGTCTTGGGCAACACCTGTTTCCAGCCCCATTGTATCTCAAGTGATCGAACTGTTGGCACTGCAATGTGCAATGTCTAGAGTCTAGAGTCTCGACCAGCTTTGTACATGCGCCGGACATGTAACGCCTCTGTATTGGTCGAACTGTGCAACTCTGCAGTGACGGATCCAGGGCCCCCCGGCTCCTGGTCAAGGGCGCATGAAGGGAGAGTCCTAGCAGACTCTCGCAACTCCCCGAGGTTCCTGGTAGGCAGACTGCTGCACTGCATTTCCACTTCCTTTCCACTGCTCCTTTCAACAGCTTGCCAGCTGGCTTGGCATCAAGGGTGCGACGACGAATCCTTTTCGTAGGTACGGAAAGCGGAGAAAGTACCATCGAGACAGATACGTGCGACTTCTCTTGACGCATGAGTTGGCATCCTCTATCTCGGGTGGGACCGAGATTGCAGGATCACGGAAGTTGTAGACTAGCCTTGGCTGTTTTGCGGCGAAGCCCGGCTGCATCGGCTGTTAGGTATCGGCCAAGGGACGAAACAGGCCAGTGCTGGCCAAGCACTGCGATGCCCTTGGCCTGCATGTCTTCGTGATTTTGCGAATGACATGTTACCAGCGGCAAGACCAATGCCTTGACGTGAAATTCTGATTGAAATGCCGCGCCGCAATTCACCAGGCCGAGGATAGCACAAGCATTGGTCCCTGGGGCCTCGTCTGTGCTGCGCAGCATCTCGCCACACCTCTCTTTGAAGCGACATCACACTGCAATGAGTCGCTCGCAACGCACCCCGGAAGATTGCGTTGCAGCCTGTTGTAGATGGAGTGGTTCAGGTCCGACTCCGGCGCTCCACCGTTTGCAGACAGCAGAAACTGCTTGCAGCCCTCTGTCGTGGTGGGCATGCTAACCTCCGGCCGAGGACTCGAACTCAATGCGATGGCTACAGCTACAAGCCTGAGCTGGTAACGTTTGAAGGCAGCGCATTGTGTTCTCCTACCTTGGCGATGGTAGGATCGTCGGCGGAGGCTCAGATCCCACGTTGCTCTGCCAAGTTGCAGTCAGATTTTTGGTGCGTGCCCGATCTTCCTGCAGACCATCGTGGATCACCACATCAAGATAAGCTGGTAGATCTATGTCTCTATGCCTGCGTGCAACCGAGACTCGAGCACGCGGGCGAACCAGCCAGATTTCTCGCCGATTTCCGGCCAGTTCCGCATCTGATAGCAGCCATCGCAGCCACCACCTATAGGTGCCTCGTTGAACAGAGGTTCTAGGCTTTAGGTTTCGCTTCGAATCTCGCTGGTCTGCGAGTCAAGCCTGCAAAGCTCACAAGTGGTGCCAAGCTACGCAAACCTGCCATGAAACGCAGTCCGGATTCGCCAGACACTGCTGGTCGCAGGCCTCACCCAGAAGCAAGGCCCTCACGTGCAGAAAGCCTGTTCATTTATTCCTGGCCTCTGGTGTCAAGTCTTGCGCTTTCCCGATCAGCGACCTCGCGATCTGCCTGTAGTCGAAGCCACGATTTGCAACTTCCTCGGCAGTGGCTTCCAAAGGCTCCGAGAGGGTGCCGGGGTGAGGAGCAGTCCGTGCTGTCTGCTCATCCCTCGTTCCTCCTCCGCTCGCATCCGCTCGAGTCTTACGGACAGATCGGCCTTGGCACAGCCTTGGCCTTGGCTCTGAGCCGAGAGTCGCTGAGCACCAGCCCTAGCACCTTCTCGACCAGCACTCCCAACGCGAGCATGCGCAGCGCCATGGCTTCAGTAGCTTCAAAATTCGAAGCTCTTCGCAGATGGAGGCCGGTGCTGTGTTGGGTGGGCTGAGACTGAGTGAGTGTTGAGTTTGGCCTGACTGTCCTAGGCGGGGCTAAGCGTCCAGTTAAAGTGCCTGCATCCAGCTGCTCAGCATTGTCGGAGGGAGCAGCCCGGTCTATCTTGCATTACGCGCTACTGTGGCAGAGTTTCATGCGACCCTGTGTCATGTGGCTGAGCAGCCAAAGACTGAGCCAATGGCTCTCCCAGACGAACTGAACTGAATGATGAGCAGATGCCCTCCTGTCTCGTACTCACCTAGAGCGACCCCCATGCCGACGCCTGGCGGGAGCCAAAGCCATGCCGCCGCGGCTTTGCCTCAAGCAACAGACAGTGTGCCAGTACAGTGTGGCGTTGCTGCCCTCTGCTTAGACTCTGGTGGTACGCACCTGCGAAGACCGTGCCGACCGCGCTTCGTGGCCCACCATCTGGAGCCGAAAGCACGGGCACATGCTCCAGTCGAGCCACACATGAGCTCACATGTTTCAGTTCGCGCCCACTCACCGTGAACGGCTTTTCTTCTGCGCAGTTTTCTCTCTCATTGCTCCATCCAATGTTGATAGTACACAGCATGGACCGTAGGGAAGAAAGAACGAAGAAGGAACATGGTGCAAGGTGCCCTTTCACATTGACATACTTCACATCTGAGGAGTATCTGAGGAGTGTATTCTTGTATCCTCTTCCCACGGTCCACGCCCCTTCATCCGGAGCGAAGGAATCTGCAGTGGAACCGGTCCGCCCGTGGTACACCCATCGCAACTGGACAATCCATGATGTCTCAAAGATTCGAAGCCGGGCACCTACCCATGCTACACAGCAGGCTTTCTCCGATCAGGATTGAAAACACTGAAAAAGACAGATGCCCACCGCCAAGCACACTGCAATTTCCGAAGAGCACCCTGACGGCATCCAGAGATGCTGTGCGTCTCGCTGCTTCCGCACTCCGCACTAGGGCGTTGGAGGTAATATAGTCACAGTGTTCTCCTTCCTCGAGGGTAAGTCCCAACAGCAACGTCCGACGCAGCATCAAGGGCCCACCTGGCTACTGTCCCTGCGGCAAAATTCTGCTGAGCGGTTCCTCATGATGCTTCTTGCTTTGATTTGGAGCCTTCGGTTTACGGCGCGGGCTCAAACAACAATGACGACAAGAGGTACCACTCAGCCTGGAAGAGACTAGCTAACAACAGTCCGCCCGTGCTGCAACGAATCAGACGCAATATGTTAAAGCCTCGTGTAACTATCCAGCCTGACATAGATATGCGATCATGCCTGACAATGACCAATAATGGTGGCTAGCACCATTTCACCAACATGTCCCTCAATTGTTGTGCCATGCGTTTTGCCGGCACTCTTCAGCATGCCCAGCTGTTTGCAGTATCGATGAGCTACCCTACGTTAGTCGTTCGTCATGTCTTTCAGTGCTGACGATTGCATCTTGTAGTCGCAGGAGACATACCCAATCCAGCTGGGGCAGTGGGAAACGCATTGAAGGCACTGGAAGCTCTGTCAGTAGCAAGTGTAGCAGGTGTCACTATCAAAATCTTAACAAGCTGACTTGACACAGTGTCTGACCGACAGATGCTTCTGATCTAGCAGCAGTGAGAAGACGAAACTGTCGATGTTGCGCGCTTTCAGCAACTCAGTGCCACCACTGAGCGCCTTTCGACTGGCCCTTCGCGCCCTTGGACTTTCCTCCCTTGTCGCCTTTGCCTCTGCCATCTGCTTTGCCTTTTGCATCGGACTTGCCTTTGCTATCGCCCTTGCCTTTGCCTTGGGCTTTTCCTTTGCTCTCCGCCTTTCCTTTGGCTTCTCCTTTTCCCTTTGGGCTGCTTTTGCTGCCCTTGGCGGAAGCCTTACGGTTCCTGTAGCAGGACGACATGAAGTCATGTCACATTGCGTGTGCAAGCAGAGAATTCCCTCCCGCCTCCATTCGTTCGCCGCCGCCATGATCTCCCTCCTGTCAGCGTGCTCTGAGACGTCCATCGTACGCATCGTAAACTGGCAGCCCTTGTCCCAGCCTTCTCTCCTCGGCTCCCTTGGCGTGCGGAGCTTCCTCCTTCCGGCCATGTTACACACCTCTTTCTAGACTCTTTACAATGGGTCGCAGTCCTCCGCCCAGGCCCATTCTGGGCAGTAATCGGGCCTTGCACAGCGACAGAATAACGGATCATGGAGTACACCTGGTATCCCCGCATGCGGTCAAGCAACTTCTTCCAATCCTCCGGCGACCAGGTCTCCCAGCCTGGCAAGCGCATCGGCTTTTTGAGGGCTCTGAGCTTGCTCATGGAAAGACGGCAAGGCAAGGCTTTTCCAGGCGCGCGGGGCTGGCACCAGGCGTCGTCACGAAGTGACGGCCTTCAACGTCCACGTCAGCACCGGCTTTGGCGATCCAGGCCGGAAGGAAGGTCGTGAAGGTCGCGGGCGAGCGACGAGGCGTCGAAGCTTTCAGGCATCAAGGGGCGACTTAGCTGCTTCCCTTGGCTTCCCCACCGGAGCCCTGGCAAGGACCAACAAACTGCAACCAAGCACTAGAAGATGAGCACGGCGAAGGCTGCAAAGGCATGACACTGTCGCCAGCTCTCGGATTTCGACATGACGAGGCCTTGTTGTGGTGCTTGGCGATGCGATGCAAGGCCGTCACCACCTCGACACGGATCTTGGCCATGAAAGAACCACGCGCCCACGCGGGCGCTCACACGCACACCATCTTCTTTCATATTCTGACTTTCGCCCACACCCACGTGCGCGGACCCTGGCGCCGGCACTTCCCGGTCAAGAAGCATTGACCTGGTTGAACTCGTCTAAGCTCTCGTCGCAGATCTTCAGGATCTTCTCGGGGCTGTCACAGCCCAGCAACTCCTTGAGGGAGGAAGTGAGAGAATCAGCGTTTATCAGCGTTTCTGTTATTCTGGGACCCTGCAACCCTATCGCGGGCCTTGTTCAGCTGGATGTTGCGCCTTAGTCGGCCATTGCAAGAGACGGGCACAATAGGCCCGCAAAAGCAGCCCGGAGACTGCTGTCGGAGCAAGGTACACCATACTATGATCTGCAAGATATTCAATATCCAATCAATCTGAGTAGATGCCACCTAGAACCCGGTGCTGCTCCGAACTTGAAGAGCTCTTCATCACTTCAGCAGACATGAACAGGAGCCGCAGTTCAGAACAGCAACCATGTACTGCATCCCGTCTATACATGGTAGAGAGAGATCCCAAGTTGTGCTCCGGTCTATGTGTCTTGACTTGCAAGAGCTAGAGTTCGCTCATCGAAAAGAGACGGGAAAGAGAGAGGCGGAGAGAGAGGGAGGGAGGGGGAGATAGGGACAGAGAGAGGGAGAGAGTGAGTGACAACAACAAATGGACAGAGACATAGGCAAACAGACAAGCAGTTGCAAGGCACACATCTGCTCCACACACAATTTAGTAGCTCTCAGCCATGTGCATTTTGCGATGTAAGGCCTGCAAGCAAGACTCACAGGAGCATGCAGGCGAGCCAAAAGACATCCCACCTGCTGGCGTGGCAGCGAGCTGGCCCCACCCATTCCAGCCTTATGTTTCCACGGACCGATCACGAAGCCGTGGTGCCGGGTTCAAGCACGGCTACCCAGCCAGGAATGACCAATAAATACATCGCCTGCTCGTCCTTGGGCCTTTCTGCCGATGGGCGTCGAAACAACCTGAGTCTAGACTTGGTTAGACCAAGAATATCCGTTCTCTTCCAATTTAAGCTAAGTTAGGTGTTGGTCACTCACAGGCAGAACAACCTTACCAAATGCGACTTTGTGGCCCACCTTTGCCACCTGCTGGGCCCTGACCATTTCATGATGGTCGGTCTTTGATACAAAACTGGTGGCGTAGTGCGCGTGGAGTCCCACTCAGGCCCTGACGTCTCTGCCGACTGCGTGTAGAGGTAAAGGCCGCGAAAGCAAAGCTGTCGTCCCTGCCAATCAGCCGAACCGAGACAATCACCGAGACGAATCTGGGCTGGGCCGCAGGGCGCTCAAGTCCCACGGCCACGGCCTGCCGTTTGCCACTCCGAGTGCTGTCCGGGAATCTCCTGCAGCAGCCGCTGAACAACTTGACGAAAACTTACATCACTACATCCGAAGATAGAACCTTCAACACGTCTGCCAGAGTCGTTGGACAAAGACAGGCGCCTAGTGGCTGTAGCTGCAGGTTCAACCACCGAACGCATCCAAACAGGACCCACACGAGGCAAGCCCACAGGCCTCCCTGGGCATTGGCATGTCTACCACCGCCTGATGCTACTGTAGTGGCGGTTCATGAGTCTACTGAATTTTACAGTTGCAGTGAATGGTCATGAGAACTCCACCTCGCGGGTCAGGCGTGGAATCAGAGACCCCGACGTCTCACCATATCTCTCAAGGCTTCCGCCTGAAGGAAGTCAATGAATCGAGTCGCACACGACGGCAGCCGCTTCCTGGCCTTGGGGATAAGGATGCATTGTTGCTTGCAGATGCAAGCCCTGCTGGTCATTCCTTGGTCCAGGATAGATCGCACTACCAAGCCGCTGTCCAAAAGCATTCTGGGTAAAGCAGCGTGTGCCACATCGCTGGAGCCTCGGGAACTCCCCACATGGCGGGAGCCTCGTGGCATCTCGAATGCGTGGAAACGAGCGAACCCAGCCAATGCTGTCCTTTCTGCACGCCCGGGCACAGAGGGAGCAAACGAATTCCAGCCAGAGGACCCCGCCGGGGTCTCTTGCATGACCTGCATCGGCGCATAGCCCCACTGACCTGGTAGCTCACGGGAGGAATACACCGCTACACCCAAACCCAAGCGGCCCGCCTCCACTGCGATCCCAGCCCCAGGGAGGTTGGCCGCCATGCATGGCACCGAAAGGCCCTCCAGCAGGCCTCGCAGCGAAACAGAACTTGTGCAATGGCACCAACACATCTCGATCATCTCGCCGTCTCACCCTGCCTTTGTAGGAGTCGGCGCAGCACAGGATTCATCCGCGAGAAGCTGACATGAAGAAGCTGTGATTTCAGCACATGGATGCGGTTAGACTTCTGACATTGTGCTGCTATCTTTCGGCTTGACCGGAGTTTGGGTTGCTTGGGCCGAAAATCAGAACAAACTGGAGCCCTTGCACACAGAGCATCAAGGCTTCACGTGGGGAAGACCCCAAGCGTGGCATAGCAGGCCGTCGGCATCTCCGAATGGCTTGCCGACTCCCTTGCCTGTAGAGCCCGCACGCTTCGCTTAGGAGCCGGATGAGATGCAGATGCTCACAGCAGGCCTTCCATGCGTCGCGCCGGAGGGACCGAGGGGGCCGAGGGTGCCCGCGGCATTGGGGCGGGCGGAGGAACGGGCGCTACATGGGTCGTCGGCATCGGCGGGGCCGTCACCAAAGGGTTTCTGTTGGCCTCGCCTGCGCTGAATGCTCTCCTCTCAGCCATCAAGATTTTCCGCACCTGCTCACCTTAGTCAAACTTATATTATATGTGTTACCCTGCGAAAACTTCATGAAGTCTTCCTGTCTTCTCCGAGATTGCGACGCACATCAGGCGGGCGGTAGGGTGGTGGCGCGCACTTCGGGTACGGCAACACCTTGACAGTGGGTATAATGCTGCATTGACGCATGCATCTTCGATCACCTCCACAAACTGCAGAGGCAGACTAGACTAGGGACTCAAGCAGATGCACATGATCTGTTCAGCTCGGGCATTACATTCCAGAAGTGTGGGTGCAGTACCTCTCCAGTGGTCCACGTCTCTTGCCGCGGGGGCACCGGAGGCACCTGGCCGAGGAGCAGAAGATTGGAAGACACATTGCGCACATCTTACCTCAACATTCTCGAGTCCGATAACAGCAGCTTGGCCATCAGCATAGACGTAAAGATCTTCAGATGGAAGCTCTTGGTTGGAAACTTGTTCGGCGAGATTTTTGGGGCACGTCGCCGGGCACCAGCAGGCAATGGCCGCTTTTGCGGCTACTTCCTGAAAAGCCCCGCGAGATCCGTCAAGTCCTCCGACGTTTGTTGGAGGACCCTGCGCCACTTTTCTCCTGGCCGTCTCCAGCCAAAAACTTCAAGACATCGTCGAAAGAATCGTTTTCCTGTTTTGTGATGACCCAGGCTTTGGTCTCACCATCGAATTTTGCACCAAACTTCTTCAAGTCCTCTTTGAAATGGAAGGTAGCACCTGTAAGGGTCATCTGGTTCCCTTCTATTTTCGAAATCACCTTTCGGCGCAAGGCAGCGGAAGCAGCAGGGGCCAAGGCCGCGACTCGGGGCTCATCCGATTGCCTCCCTTCCAGCAGCATCTTTATCTTGGCTTGATCGTCTGCTTTCAGCTTCTGAAATCCATGGATGTCTCCGGTTGATGTGATCTCCTTGTTGGCATTGGATTTGTATTTGAAGGTCTTCCAGAGGCAGCTCGGATGGTACCAGCCAAGCTGGCTGCCGCGGTGGTCGTTCTCGGGAGCTTCAATACCTATCCGAAGCTCGCCACTGTTGATCTTTTGCTTGCAGCGGAACTCCTTGCAACTCGATCGTGCAGACTTAGCGTAGTCTGCAACATACCACGATCCCTCGCTCCAAGCCCAGGACAACTGGCCAGCCATTAGCGCATCGAAAAACTACACAGGCAGCATGTGGAGGCGTTTAACCGTTTGCGGCGTGGTTTGACTGAGCCTCCCAGACTGACCACTTGACTGCGATCCATGCATCGCTCATAAAACTGCCTACAGTAGCGGGGTGGGAACGGAGACTTGCACAGCTTCGACGAAAAAGTCAAACCCCCATTGAAGGAGTCAATGAGCTGGCATCGCTGCATTCAGCGGCTGGTCCTCCGGAACGTTGTACCTGACTCAATGCACACACACACACACACCAAAAAAAAAGAACTCTCAGAACACCCTACACCAGGCGGTTGCAATGCAAACCGACGCTAGTGCAGAAGCAGCCTCAGGTCGGAGAGCTTCATCGCCTGACGGCGCGGAACCTCCGACGGCATGAGATCCGTCGGGACTCGTCGGCCCTAGGACTGACAGAGCCGGAGGAAGGCTCTGCGCTCCGCGATGGCCTCGACGTGAGCCGCCAGCTCTTCTTGGGCAGCTTCGGCCTGCAGTGCAAAGTGAACTTGTCTGACTCGTGTTCCTCACACAACACTTCTCTCGACACGAGCTGCAATTGCAAGGGGCATCGGATGACGAGGACTTGGCCGATTCCGACTCCATTCGCTCTTTGCCCACGTTGCGCCTTACGGCAGTAACGAAGCTGACGACAGAGTCGCAACCAGCCACAAGACACGACACCCAGTGACCGTTGAATCGCCTGAGATCGGCAAGCTTGATCGTCTGCTGCCGTGGTGCCTGACGCCATGCGCAATGCTACTCGCGGAAAACCCAAATGTTCGACCAAAGCCCCGGCCTGTCGAGGCTCCGCAGTCTGAGCCATTTGGCTAGCCTTCGCTGTTCTGCACGACAGCCCACGATCTCTCTTCACACAGACATCCCAGAGTCTTCAGAGTTGCACATCCTGTGTTTTCTTATAGACCATGCCACACTCTCCACAACCCTGCCCTGGCCTTAGCTTCCTGCGCTTCCTGCCCAGGATATGTCGTTTCATCTACGTCTCACGAGCCCATGCCGCCACACCGGAAAAGACGACACTCTGCACGCACCTTGGCACGCATATCTCGCTGGCGCTGGGCTTCACGTCGGATAGCAGCTCGTGTGGCTTGCTCCTTGCATTGGAGCCGCATACCGCGGAGAGGGAAATCTTTCCACAGCGTTTGTTGTGAAGCAAAGGAGCAGCGCGCACCAACCCCTGCCCTTTACCCTGCGGTCCTCCTGAACCCGACGCTGCTCACGCATCTCTGCCTTCTTTTCGGTCTTATTCTTCACCTTACGACACTTCTCACAGGATCCATATCGCGAAGACGATCTCTTTGAGTAGTGCTCGGTCTACAGAGAGTGCAACAGCTGCTAGAGGGCTGCTTGCATTGAACAAACATGCTGAGGAGCTGAATGAGACACAAAGGCGAGTGACGAAAAATGACACAAGCTGCACCGGGTCCGAGGCTGTTTCAAAATCCAGGAGCTCGTCGGAATCTACCTGCAAGGCGAGGCCCAACCCGAAGTGACACATCACCTGCGAGCAGAGCTATGCCTGATGTCTACAAAACTAGCAGCCTGCTTCTCCTCACCCTGCACACAGACCTCGGCTCTGCGTGAGCTTTCCAACCCTCCGCGCTTTACAGAGCAGACTTATAACTACGGTCATTGGTCCCGCGGTGAAGCGCTGTTCTTCCCTCTTCGATGCTCAGGAGGCCGGCTGACTGGGCTGGGCTCAGCTGCTCCGCCACTCCGAACCGTTCCGAACCGCCAAGAACCGTTCTAAACGGTCCCGAGCCATTCCGGACCGAACCGTTCCGGACCAAACTGTTCCGTACCGATCCGAACCGCCCCGAACCGTTCCGAAATCGTTCCGAACCGGTCCGAATCGCTCCGAGCTGTTCCGAATCCTTCCGAACCGTTTCGAACCGTTCCGAACCGCCCCGAACTGTCCCGAACACTGCTTCGAACCGTGCCAAACCGTTCGGAAAGGTTCGGAACGGTTCAACAAACTTCGGAACGGTTCGGTCTGAAACACTTCAATCCGGAACGGCTCGGGACGGTTCGGGAAGGTTCGGAACGGTTTGGAACAGCCTCACAGCAACTGCACCCGACAGCTCAAACCCTGACCCCCAAAATGCTTAAGATTGGATTTGCATCGCATGTTTGATTCTCACTGGCTCTGTGGGCTAACCTCCTTTAATTTAAGAGTTATGCATTCCCAGGGCGTCCCAACAAAAGACAAGCCAGAAGCTGCCTTAGGGAGCACCGCAGCCTCAGGACTTGTGCTTGCGTTCCTTGTAGGACGCTGCATAGGCAATCAGTCTTCCGGTCTTCCTGTTTGTTGTGGCTGCGAGGTGCTCGAGAAAGTACAGATAGAAGGTCAAAAAAAAAGGTGGAAGGCTGGGCGCTAGCTCAGCATCCAGCCATGCCAATGCCCAAAGCAAGGCCCGTGTCCGCGACGGGATTCAAGCGGCCCATAGCCTGGAGAAGCTCAAGTGCTCGAGTCTCCGACCTAGGCTCCTTCCCCCTGCCTCCTCACTAAGGATGCTAGACTGTGGGACGACAGGCGGCTCCTCCTGGCACAACAACTCCCGCAGCCTTTCGGCTTAAGCCCGATAGCATCTCCGACGCGGCACTTGGCATCACCGACAACCCTCATGGCCCAAGTCTCCTCCTCCTCCTCCTGCTTTTGCTCGGTGTCCACCGGTGACGTTGGAGAATTTTCCTCCACCTGGGACTGTTTTCGCCAACGCACATCTGCTGATGTGAGCAGCCCATGCCTTCACCGGCTGCACCTCTGCGCCGGCTGCCTGGGTGTAGCTTGTGGTGGGTATCTTATAGAAGTCAACACCGAACCCACAAACCCTAAACGCGGAAAAGATGTACGTACAAGCTGCAAATCCTCGTAAACTTGAGGCTTATGCCATAAGCCTCCCCACCTCTAACCCAAACCCCCAAAACATGAAATAACACAAAAGATTGCAGTCCATTAACTATTCTGGGTGGGGTCGGCAGGAGTTGTTGTGGCCTTCTCGCGCAGCATCTTTCTCTGTCGCTCAGCCTCTGCTCGCGTGGCAGCTCGAGACCTCTGCACACGACGTGCACCGACATCATGCAGAGTCATGTCAGGCCAAGACGAGACACGGAATTGAAAAGCCAAGTCCAGGACTCAAGGACACTCTTGAGGTTCCTCTGTCGCTTCTCCTGTCAACAGCATGAATTGGAGCCAGAAAGCTTCACCACGTGGTGCCAAAGGAAACTGGCTGGCCGCACGAATTGTTGCTTGCCCGTCTCGGGCAGCGCTGGTGTCTCATGTGCGGCAGGCGTCTCATGCACCTGATCCGTGATGTAGGGTGCCAGAATCCAGGACATGCTCGGAACGCTAGTTGGATGCTTTGCCTCCTCATCATCCTCGTCAGAATCGCTGGACTTTGTCTTGACAATCCATCCTGCATGATGATGCGGTCGCTTTCAGCTGTCATCCAATCATCTTCTGGGTGGTCTGCACAGGACAACAGGGCCTTTCTTTCCGCCTTTCTTGTCCTTGCCCTTAGCTTTGCCTTTGCCCTTGCCCTTGGCATCCTTGCCATGGCCTTTCTCCTGTGCCCCAGCTGTGCTGAGAACTGAACACACGCTCCCAGTAACCTTGCCTGGTGCGCCGGCTTTGAAGCCCTGGAGTCCTCAGCCCGGCAGCGTGGCAGTGGAAAGGACACGGCTCTGCGTGTTTCACAGGTCCTCCTCCTCGGAGGAGACGACGACCGGGGAGCTCTCGTTCACCGGGCTCTCCTTCTCGGAACTAACTGCAGACTGCAGCGGTAGAGCCCAAAGAACCTGGAGCTACAGAGCCCGAAGTGAAGCTGTCCTTCTCCTCTGAGGAATGCGACGAGGCCACGCTCCACTCGGCATCAGAGTCCTCCCAATTTCCGACGGCGGTACCGACCGCAGCAACAGCGCTGACCACAGGCCTCGCCGTAAACACGAGGACCACGCCCCTTGCCCTTGCTTTTGCCCTTGTCCTTAGACCTGGCCAGCAGAAGCATGGGAACGTCAATGTTCAAGGTGATTGCGAATCTCTTCTCAGGCACGGACTTGCCGGAGCCTTTGCCTTGTTTGCCTTCGCCTTTGCTTACACCCTTGTTGGAAGCCTGCCAGACAAGCAAATCAAATCCAAAGCAGGAGCCAGACCCAGCACGTGTCAGGCAGTCCTCTGTCCGCGGCTCCACTCGGGGTGCATGAGCCTCGCAGGCGCAGCACTTGGAAACCTTTTGCGGTTTTTTGCGCGGGGGACGTGGCAAACATGACTTGCGAGGGCCTCCTGCTCCTTGGCCTTCTCTTCTGCCGACTTCTGAAGGATGCGCAGCGGCTTCTGCGAGTGATCCGGGATCGATACGGCTACCACTACAAGTGATTGCGGCTCCGTGTCCCTAGGCATTTGGATGTCACCCACCTGCGGATCGATCTTCATTTGCGTCTGGATTGTCACTTCAACATCCTCCGTGTCCTCGACACTGTGCGAGATGCCCAACCCCCTCACGAACGGTTTCCACTTAAGGCGGGCCCTCGGCGCCGGCTCTGACCGCGCCTCTCCCTTGGGATCTCGCACGCGGCGGCTGCCATCGTCGCGCTTCTCGCGCGGGGCACGCTGGAGGATCCTGTGTGGGTGAAGAAAAGTCGCGCATCGGCCGCACATCGGGCATTGGGATGCATTGGGCGATGGGGATCTCGGGGCCCGGGCCCGTTCGGTGTCAACTTAGGAGACGGTGGCTTCTGCACGGGCTCGGCCGGCTCGGCATCAAGCTCGGGGTCGCCTAAAGGCCAAATGATGGAACGGAACCCACTCGCGGCTCTGCACCCACCGCCCACCTGCCCCTTCTTCAACGAATGCTCCAGTCTGCTGAGGAAGTGCGGCCTCGCAAGCACAACAGCGGCTGGATTCATCAGACGACAGAGCAGAAGCCGAATCTCAAAGCTGGTTTTTCTAGCCATGTTCCCATGGAGTCATCTCGACCGTCTTGCGATACATCTCGTAGCTGAACTCATGGCCCAGAGCGCCTTCCCCGAGAAAATCTTGGCCGATCGGCCCTTCTTCGATGGCTTCATCAGGTCCTCCCCCATGCGATGTTGGACGTGCAAATTAAATAAAGTAGACTGAACGATGTCCATCACCGTCCTGCAGGTTGAAGGTCGGAGCGGCTCTCTGTGCATGTCCTGTGCTGCAATGCCGAAGCTCTTGGTCTTGACAGCTTCACGCTTCTCACCGAGACTTACTGGGCCCCCAGCCAAACTTGTGCATGGCCTGGACTGGATGCTTGGCAACAGGCTCCACAAGGTTCTTGGCCGCAGTTTTCTGCTTCTCCTGTCGGCGAACAAGCTTTGCTTCTGTTGCACCATCTGCTGCGCGCACTGCAGGCTCCTTCTTCGATTGTGGGCCCGAGGAGATGTCAGGGAATTGCTGATCTGCGTTTCCTCTTACAGGGCGCAAGTCGTCCAGGTCGCCCCACACCTCCGACGGCGAAGAGCGCTCACACTGCGACAAGGAGTGTGGTCAAGATGGGATAGGCTTGGCGTTCTGAATGAAAGTCCGAGGCCGTGACAGAGCAGGAAGATGCTGCCTTGGGAGGTGCCACGGCCTCCTGGCAGATGCCGAGCCCTGGGTGGAAGCCGTGACAACCCAGTGACCCCGTCTGTGCCTTTCTGGGCGGAGGTCGCAGCATCTCCGCCGATGCCACCTGGGCTGATGCAGCTTCCCGGCAAATCCTCCAAAGGAGAGGCGTCTGATCCACCCCAGCCTGCTTCGGTGGCACAGGCGGAGCCTTTGGCGGCGGCACTGGTGGGGGGACATAAAAGCTGGCCGCCTGAGACATTGGGCTTCGGCGAGATGCACTTGATTCGTGAATCTTTGGCCTTCTTTGGCGGAGGCGGCTTTGGAAACGTAGCCTCAGGCTCAACAGGTTCATCCTGATGTATCCTGACACTGATATTCCCTCACATTCGACATTGACCTGGCCTTGGACGGTGCGACCTGCACGGCCTCGCGAGAAGCCGAGTTGCGGCCAACGCTTCGAGCGGGGCCACCACTGGGACAGCTCCGGCCTCTGGAACTGCAGCCGGCGGCTCTGGTGCTGCCTCCCACAGCGGAGAGGTGTGCACACGGCGCCGTGTGCTATGACACGCTTCGCCTCTGGAACCGGCGCAGGTGGCGGCGGAACCTGCCCGGAGCCGGATCTGCCCTCGTGTCGGCCATCACATCTCATGCTGCATCTTCTCAGTACACTTGGCTCAGCCTCCGCAAAGGCGGGGGCCACCACCTGGCACATGGGTCCATGGAGGGTAAATGCGTTTATGTTTTTGCTGTCGTTGCGGTACTAATATTGCTTACTATGATTACGATTACTACTTCTATTCCTACTATTACTATTATTATTACTACTATTATTATTCTTGTTACTACGACAGCTAGCATTACTATTATTACTAAATATCAAGTACTATTATTACTATTATTACGATGTTGACTATTACGTTGCTTCTTTGTTGTTGTTGTTGTTCTTGTTCTTGTTGTTGTTGTTGTTGGTATCGGCTGTGTAACGGATCCCACGCTTTTCGCCCTGTCAGGCCAGGAAAACCCTGGCCCTGCCGACAAACTCGGACATGGAGGGGCGGGGGGGGGGGGGGAATAGGGCCTTTTTTCGAAAAGGCGATTTTCAAACC